GAAAATCTGAGACAAGAACAGGAATAGCTGGAGACCCTTAGCAGGTCTGGCAGCATTTTCACGGAATGGAGTCCCTACAGTGTGTAAACAGGCCCTTCGGCCCAACAAGTCCACACCGACCCTCAGAGCATCCCATCCCATCCCCCTATAACCCACCGCATCTACACATCACTGAACACTATCGGGCAATTTAGCCCAGCCAATCCACCTAGCCTGCACATCTTTGGACTGTGGGAGGAAACCGGAGCACCCGGAGGAAACCCACGCAGACACAGGGAGAATGTGCAAACTCCACACAGGCAGCCGCCTGAGGGTGGAACCGAACCCAGGTCCCTGGTGCTGTGAGGCAGCAGTGCTAACCGCTGAACCACCGTGCTGCATCTGTGGGGAGAAAGCAGAGCTTACCTTTTTAGTAAGGCACACCAGGGCAGGACTTGTACAGTTAATGGTAGGGCCCTGGGGAGTGCTGCCGAACCTAGGGGTGCAGGTACATAGTTCCTTGAAAGTAGAATCACAGGGAGACAGGGTGGTAAAGAAGGCATTTGGCACACTTGCCTTCATTGGTCAGAACATTGAGTATAGGAGTTGGGACGTCATGTTGCAGCTGTTCAGGATATTGGTGAGGCCACTCTTAGAATACTGCATTCAATTCTGGTCACCCTTCTATAGGAAAGATGTTGTTAAACTTGAGACATTGCAGAAAATGTTTACAAGGATGTTGCCACTACTGGACGGTTTGAGTTATAGGGAGAGGCTGAATAGGCTGGGGCACTTTTCCCTGGAGCTTCAGAGGCTGAGGGGTGACTTGGAGGTGTATAAAATTGAGGGGCATGGATAGGGTGAATAGTCCATGTCTTTTTTCCTAGGGGTGGGAGAGTCCAAAGCTAGAGGGCAGAGGTTTGAGGTGAGACGAGAAAGATTTAGAGTCTTAGAAATGTGTTTTTTTTTAAAAAAAAACGACTGAGGGCCAACATTTCACACAGAGTGGTGTGTGTATGGAACGAACTGCCAGAAGATTGGTGGAGGCAGGTATAATTACAATACTTAAAATACGTCTAGATGGGTACGTGAATAGGAAGGGCTTAGAGGATATGGGCCAAATGCTGGCAAATGGGTCTAGGTCATGATCTTATGATCTTGCATTTGCCCTATTCCTCAATCCAGTAAAATCCCTTTCAAAACTCTTATCTTCAGAACCCTTCGTGGTCTTGTTCTGCCTTTCTCTCTGCACGCTAAGTCCAAGCTGAACCCCACATTTCTGATTACTCATGACTACCCTGGCAACTCTGTTCCACCCAGTGTCTGATTTTTGATACGCATATTCCCACTCTCTGCCAGAATTCCATCGACCCAGTTATGCTGTCAGTCAAAAACCTCCTTACACTGGCTGCTTTCTATCGCTTCAAACCCCTCCTGCCCACTGCCCCCCACCGCAGCCTTCCCTGGGTGAAGAACTCTGAGGTGTACGTACAATTAATGAGAGATTTTGGAAACTTGTGCTCCTGATGTAGTGGGAATTAGTCTAGGAAAGTGTACCAGGCTTTGCTTGCCGAGTTTAAGCGAGGGACTATAGCATTGGAATTTATAAGAATAGGGGACAGGGTGGATCTAATGGAAACATATAAAATTACGAAGGGAGTAAATAAGATAGAAGCACAGAGGTTGTTTGCACTAGCGGGTGAAACTAGAACAAGGGGGCATTGCCTCAAAATAAGGGGGGAGCTGATTTAGGACTGAGTTGAGGAGGAACTGGTTCACCCAAAGGGTTATGAATCTGTGGAATTCCTCACCCAGTGAAGCAGGCGAGGCTACCTCCTCGAATGGTTTCAGGGAAAAGAAATTTTTGAACAGTAAAGGAATCAAGGGTTATCGTGAGCGGGTAGGTACGTGGAGCTGAGTCCATGAAAAGCATGGTGCCTCAGTGCGTCAGGGACCCGGGTTTGATTCCACTGTTGGGAGGCTGTCTGTGCGGAGTTTGCACGTTCTCCCCGTGTCTGCGTGGGTTACCTCCGGGTGCTCTGGTTTCCTCCCACAGTCCAAAGATGTGTAGGTGTGGTGGATTGGTCATGGTAAATTGCCCCATAGTGTTCAGGGATTGTAGGCTCAGTGGATTAGCCATGGGAATTAGAGTTACAAGGATAGGGTTGGGAGGAGGGTGGGTGGGTCTGGGTGGGAGGCTCTTCGGAGGCGTGGTGTGGACTTGATGGGCCAAATTGGCCTGCTTTCACACAGTAGGGATTCTATTCTGTTCTAAGATCAGCCATGGCCTTATTGAATGGTGGATTGATGGGCCAGATGGCCTACTCCTGCTCCTATTTCTTATATTCTTGTGTTCTGGAAAGTGAGATTGTGAAAGGTTTCCTTAAGTGCCTGGTGTAATTTCTGACCTTATGACACAGTGCTGGAAAATTCTGGGATTGACCCTATGCTTGGGTCAGTAGTGGTGATATTCAATGTGCTGCGTCAGCAACTGCCGACAGTGTGCTCTAGTTATGGTTTAAGAATGCCCGATACTAACTGGGGAAAGATTAGGACACACAGATAAGAACACCTATGCTTTCTCCTTACCCTCCCCTACATTTGGTCACTATTGCCTTTGTCCTTAGTGGATAATGCTTGTTAATTGTTCATTTAATAAGTAACATGGGCAATTTGGTTGTGGTATATTTTAAAGTCCAGAGAGGTGTAGTAGCATGGCTGAGCAAGGGAGAAAGAAAGAACAGGTAGGGCTCTTGTCCTGTGACAGTGGTCATGTCCCTACTTCTGGGTCAGAAAGTCTGCGCTCAAGTTGGGGCGGCACAGTGGCTCAACGATTAGCACTGCTGCCTCACAGCGTCAGGTACCCCAGTTCAGGTCCATCCTCGGGCGACTGTCTGCGTGGAGTTTGTATGTTCTCCCTGTGTCTGTGTGGGTTTCCTCCCACAGTCCAAAGATGTGCGGGCTAGGGTGGATTGGCCATGCTAAATTGCCCGTAGTGTTCAGGGATGTACAGACTAGGTGGGTTAGCCATGGGAAATGCAGGGTTACAGGGATATGGTGGGTTTGGCTGGGGTGCTCTTTGGAGGGTCGCTACAAACACTATTTGCAAAATGGCCTCTTTTCACACTGTGGGGTTCTATGATTCTGTAAGTTCTTCCTACGACGTGTGTCACTTTTGTAGTGTGTCTATTACTAGGTATGTCATTTAATTGTCCCAAAAGGTTGATTAAAGATAACCAGTTTCCAGTTGGATGGTAAAAACCAAAAGAACTGCAGATGCTGTAAATCAGGAACAAAAACAAAGTTGCTGGAAAAGCTCAGCAGGTCTGGCAGCATCTGTGAAGGAGAAAACAGAGTTAACGTTTCAGGTCCGGTGACCCTTCCTCAGAACTCTGACCCGAAAAGTTAACTGTTTTCTCCTTCACAGATGCTGCCAGACATGCTGAGCTTTTCCAGCAACTTTGTTTTTGTTCCGGTTGGATGGTGTTGGGCTTTGGAGGGGAAACGTCCGTCTGTATTTACACTGTACAAGGTATTGTGAATAACCCCATGTAGAACACAGAGCAGCTTTTCTTTGTCCCTGTCCCACATGAATGTTTACCAGTGGCAGAGGTACAGTAATGATCCTCCTCCTCTCAGGTTTGTGCAAAGAGAGGATCGAGTCCAGAGTTTAAAAATATCCAACCGCGTGAGGTACCAGAGAGCTGACCAAAGTGGATGTCTGACTTAGGGAAAACTAGAGGTGAAAGGACACGATGGGACATGGCCTTTCGAGACAATGATACTTGCCTCTGATTTGACACGTTTACAGTTCCCCATCATACAGCCTCCACTTTTGTGGTTTCTTCCTGCGGCACACTTCGGGGTAATGTTGTCATCTTCTACATGAAGCTGTCTCGCAATGCTTTACTCCTCTAGAACCTACAGGAGTAACTTTAACTTTTTGTGGGAGAGATACCAGAACAGCTATAATTCACCCTGCCAGATCTCGTTCTCACTTGTCTCAAACTTAATTTGCGTCCAGGTCCTCACTGAATTCTTCACTGTGCTATATTTGGACAGAAAATGGAAGAGAAAGAGAGACTCTGGGCCAGAGGGTTGATGCTGGTCACAGCCTGTACAGAGGTGCTCAAAATCATGAAGGGTTCCGATAGAGTAACTATCGTTTGTTGATCACTTTGGTTGATAACTTTCCTGAGACCAGAGGACCCAGAATGAGAAAAGAAGCAGAGGTGACGTTGGGAAAACATGCAGTGTGTCGTAATCTGGAATATGCTGCTTGAGGGATGGTATATGTGGGTTCAGTGGTAACTTTTGAAAGGGGATTGGAAAAATACTCATTTGTAGGGTTTCTTTTTTGTTATTTGTTCATGGAAGGTGTGTGTTGCTGGGAAGGCTAGCATTTATTACATCCCTAATTGTCCTTGAACTGAGTGGTTTGTTCAGCCATTTCCGACGACAGTTAAGAGTCAATCACAGTGCTGTGGGTCTGGAGTCACACATGTAGGCCAAGGATGGCAGATTTCCATCGGACCATCGTAGGATTTCTATTGTGGTGGGAATCAAACCCATGTCCTCTGAACGTTAGCACTTGTGTGATGGCCTGAATGGCCTTCCACAGTGCTGCTTTATCTATGATTCTATACAGCACAGAAAGAGGCCTTTTGGCCCATCATGCTTGGGCCAGCACTCTAGAGGAGCTATCAATTTCAGCCCCTTCCTGCTGCACTTTCTTTAAAGAACTGCTATGTTTTGTTTCCTTTCTCAAATCTATATCGAATTTCCTTTTGTACAATTTATTATTGAATCTGCTTCCACTGCCCTTTCAGATCACAATCTGCAGCATTAAAAATCTCATTCCACAACTGCCCCACTTTGATTTGTTTGTAAATTATTATAAAACCATTTCCACTGGTTACTAGCCTACCTCTCAACGGAAACAGTTTCTCCCAGTCTGTTCTCTCAAAAGCCCTTCGTAGTACTTGAGTAATTGCTCATTCCTGTTTTATTAATGCTTACAGAGTGAAAGAATGCAGAAGGCTTTGTGATTCCTGTTGGATGAGGAGCTTTCACAAGGGAAATGGAGAGATTACAAGGTACGTGCTGCAGCAGAACTGGGTTAATGCCACATTTCTATTAGTGAGACATCCATAAATAACTTGCACGATGAGGCCCAGCCAAGTGTGTTCTCGAGTGGGTGTCTGCTTGTATTTCTCTCATTGATTGAAAACCTACCCCCATTACTCTCCTCCATCTCTTGTTCGTCTGCCAGAACAGACTCCGAAGCTGCTCAGCTGTTTATTGTTGTGCGTGAAAGGGAAGAGAAGGAACAAGCTTCTTTTTTCATTCACTTGAAACATTTAGGTAACTTTTTTTAAAGAATGAGACCCTTTGATTTGTCACGACAGTGACTTGTGTTTTCACTGGCTGATTTGAGAATCTGAGAACTTGCTTGTTCTGTTCTACTCTCCCTCAAGTGATGAGAGACTAAACTGATGAGATCTTTGGTTTCCATTAGTGAGCATGGCTCATGATTTACCATGACTGACCTCCTAGTCCTTCTCAAAGGACCTGTGTGACATAAATATCTGACAGCAGTAAAACAGAACTAAGAATACACTGTGCTCCTGCCACATCACTGAGGCAGAGAAGGCCAAATTTTTCCAGTTTCGTGATCTGAGTGCAAATTGTGCCTGAGATAATGCATGTTTGAGGAGTGTTTTCCACTTCCCTCAGGCTTCACTGCAAATCCATTGTCATGTTGATAACCACAAAATAGGACAGGTTCTTCATCAGTAAGGGAATCAAGGTTCACTAGGAGAAGGCAGGAGAATGGGGTTGAGAAACATATCCGCCATGGTCGAATAGCAGAGCAGACTTCATGGGCTGAAAGGCCTAATTCTGCTCCTGTGTTTTATGATCTTAAATCTGCCATGAATCAATGCAATTGGGTAATGTCTTTTTAAAATATAATGGGAGGGGGGGAAATTGTTTTGACTATTTCTTGATGCATTTAAGAGTGAAGTTGGTGGAGTTTAATTGATTAAAGCTGAATATGGGTGTATCACAAAATTAGGTATTTTACATTGTAGCATCAATCCACCAGCTGCAAGTAGCCCTATTTTAAACTACTTGAAAATACTTTTTAAAACATTTTAAAAATTCTTTCGCAGGATGAGTGTTGCGGGCTAGGCTGGATTATTTTTCCAGCCAATGAGATGATGTTGGTGAACTGCAGCATCTACAGTGGTGTGGGTACATCTACAGGAGGGAGTTCCAGGATTTTGACCCAGTGACCCTTGAAGAAACTACACTGCATACTTGAATAATTTCCCCTTAGACTGAGGGCACAAGTTTTCACTTTCTCAGTAAATTTAAAACAAATCACATGCAAAAGCATTTAATTAATTCCTTGCTCACAAGGAATTGATTTTAACAGTCTCCTTTACAGCTTTTGCTCACTTGGATTGTAGCTCATTTGACCTGTCTTTGGATTTTAATAATTCCTTTGAAGCTGATATCTGTTGAGATGTATTTTCACATGGGCCACAACTATTATACAAAAGATAAAATAACCCATTTGAATTTAGCTGAAGTGAAAAATCTTTAGTTTTAAATCAAAGAGGAGTATCAATCGTTAGCCTAGAGTCTACCTTATTTAAGACTCTTATTCAACAATAGCTTGCTTAGTAACCAAAAGGAGCCCATCACTTTTTGGTGTAAATGCTTGGAGTGTGTATGTGAAATTGTTGCCACATGTACCCAACTGTTAGTCAAAACGTTCAAGAAATTGCCTGCACACCTTGGCATCATTTCCAAATAATTGTTGGTGGGATAAAACTTCCTGTTGGGAGTAAAAATAATCCCTCAGAGGTGGGCTCCATTAGAGTAGTTTAGACTCGCCTTCAGCATTTTCTGTTAGTGTGTGTGTGTGTGTGTGTGTGTGTGTGTGTGCGCATGCGCATATCCATGTCCATGTCCATATGCGTTATCTTAATCAGCATTTAGTTAGCTACACTTCAGTCCTTGCAATTACAATAGTTATCTCTAGTTGTTTTACAGCATGTTCTGCTGAGACTGCCAAACTGAGTGTTTGATAAATGTTGCATTCTGTACAAGTCAGGCAATTAGACAAATCACAGAAAGGCCCGAAAATTGTCTTGAGCACATTATCTATCCTGATGCCCCAGAGCAGAACCGTGAGAGGGTTTGGAGGATTCTATCTATCTTTTGTAATGTGAAAGCAGACCATTTGGCCCATTGAGTCCACACTGACCCTCTGAACAGCATCCCACCCAGACCTGCTGACTCCCCCCTACCCTATCCCTGTTAACCTCCATTTCCCATGGCCAATCCACCTAACCTGCATATTTTAGGATTCAGTACAACAATTCTAATATCGTACAGATAATTATAAATACTATCAACATACATCTCCTCTTCAGACTGCCTTATTGCAGTAGGACAGCTCAATGATCTTAGAACAGTCTCGCTTGCCATTCCAGATGAAGATGGTCAGGACACATTTTGAGGTATGGGTGCCGTACTTTCCGATAATTGGCCTTGGAGACATGCAGTTTTAATTGATCAGATTGTGCCTGCATGCCAAAGGTTAAACTTGAAAGGCTTCAGAAAAGATTTACAAGGATGTTGCCAGGTTTGGAGGGTTTGAGCTGCAGGGAGAGGCTGAATAGGCTGGGGCTATTTTCCCTGGAGCATCGTAGGCTAAGGGGTGACCTTTATAGAGGTTTATAAAATCAAGAGGGGCATGGATAGGGTGAATAGCCAAGGTCTTCTCCCCAGGTTAGGAGAGTTCAAAACTAGATGGCATAGGTTTAGGATGAGGGGGAAAGACTTAAAAGGGACCTAAGGGGGCAACTTTCTCATGCAGACGGTAATGTGTGTATGGAATGAGCTGCCAGAGGAAGTGGTGGAGTCTGGTACAATTACAACATTTAAAAGGTATCTGGATGGGGACATGAATAGAAAGGGTTTAGAGTGATTTGGGCCAAATGTTGGCAAATGAGACTAGTTTAATGTAGAATATCTGGTTGGCATGGATGAGTTGGACCAAGGGTTTATTTCCATGCTGTACCTCTCTATGACTTTACAAGGAGAGATTATCCAGACTAGGATTGCATTCCCTGGAATTTAGTAGGTTATCAGGTTATTGATCAATGCTTTCAAAATATTAAAAGGAACAAATAAGGTAGATGAAGGGAAATTATTTTGACCATTGGAAGAACCTAAGACAGGGAAAAGGTGGGATGGGTGTAAGGGGGAGCTAGTGGCTTGGTGGACAGTCTGAAAATTAGAGCTAGAATTTTCAGGAGGGGAAGCAGGAAGCACCTTTACACAGAAAGAGTGGTGGAATTTTGGAATGCTGTAGTGGAAATGCCAATTAATGCGAGATTAATTGATCATGTGAAATTTGAGATCAATGAATATTTGTTACCTAATGATATTAAGGCCAGAGTTGGTAGATAGAGTTAGATCTTAGACCAGCCATGACCTTTTGAATGATTGAATAGGTGCAAGGAGCTCAACTACTGCTTCCTTTTCCCATGTTCAGAAATGGCATTAACATTTCGGCTGCTACTGCAGAGAACATGTTTCTTGCTTCAGTTTCCTCTGTCTGAGGGTTCTGCTTTATGATTGCTTCACCCAGTATCCTTCTCTAAGCTCAGATAGTGAGCATTGACAACTAATTAACCTTCACTAGTTGCTCTGGCCATTACTTACTCCAGGCACGTAACACATGTAAGCATACAAAGCTAATCACAACCTTTTAATTAAAATATTCATGGGATGAGGACATCTCTGGCTGAGTCAGCCTTTATTGCCCATCCCTAATTGCCCATAAGACAGTTAAAAGACAATGTTGCTGTGGGTGTGGAGTTACGTGTAGGCCAGACCAAGTAAGGATCGCAGTTTCCTTCCCTAAAGGACATTCGTGAGCCAGATGGGTTTCCTCCGACAATTGACAATGGATTCATGGTCATCATTAGACTCTTAATTCCAGACATTTTTTCGAAATAGTGAATTCAAATTCCACTATCCACCATAGCAGGATTCCAACCTGGGTCTCCAGAACATAACCTGGGTCTTTGGATTAACAGCGATAACTCCATTAGGCTGTTGCCTCCCCAACTTCCCATCAAGGAAAAGCCATGAGGTAATGACCTTCATTGAGCTCCCTATGAAGATCTGTATTGCCATTGCCTTCAATGTTGAATGCCACACTTGGTGGTACATCTACCTACTGTTGCCAGTTTAGCCTCCTGGTTAGCACGGGATGTACGGGAGCATTGAGAGCAAGGAATACTCAGTAATTGCATTTTGTGACTTTCTCTGTTTCAGGCCTTGATTTGTGTGCTGTATTAATGGGTTGGTCGATGTCACGAAGCCTCCATTCTTTGCTGCACACTGTCTGTCTGACTTTGTGTGTCTTTGTCCCGCTCATGGTTAATCCCAGCTGATGTCCTGTTATGTGATTTGAGGGTATTAATCAGGATTAAATCCACTTCAATCACAATACATTCTCATGGATGCAATGTAAACAGTTGCAGGGATGGGGGAGGGGAGACGGTCTCAGCTGTTTTCCCTATAATCCTTGGACTGTGAGAGCTGTGTCACAGCAGTTTGAGATGTTTGTCTGAGAGGTCCAGTTGGAATTTTGCGATTCACTTTTTAAACAAGTTTTTTTTTTTTCAGATTGCATGACGATGTGCTGACACAGGATCTGGAGATTTCCTGGGACACCATGTTAAAATCAACTCCGAAATAGTAGGAACTGCCAATGCTGGGGAATCTGAGATAACAAGGTGTAGAGCTGGATGAACACAGCAGGCCGAGGAGCAGGAAAGCTGACGTTTCTTCAGAAATGGGGGAGGGGAAGGGGATTCTGAAATAGAGAGCGAGGGGGAGGCGAATGGAAGATGGATAAAGGAGCAGGTAGGTGGAGAGGAGACGGACAGGTCAAGGAGGCAGGGATGGAGCCAGTAAAGGTGAGTGTAGGTGAGGCGTTAGGATGGGGGTTGGTCAGTCAAGGGAAGACGGACAGGTCAAGGAGGCGGGAATGATGCTGGTAGGTAGGAGGTGGGGTTGGGGGTTGGTCAGTGAGGTGGGAGAAGCAGATAGGTGGGAGAAAAGACGGACAGGTTAGGGAGGTGGGGACGAGCTGGGCTGGTTTTGGGATGAGCTCAGGGGTGGGGAGATTTTGAAGCTTGTGAAGTCCATGTTTGAGGCAATTGGGCTGCAGGGTTACCAAGCGAAATATGAGGTGCTGTTCCTGCAACCTTCGGGTGGCATCGTTGTGGCACTGCAGGAGGCGCAGGATGGAGGAGACCGCTTTGTGGAACACCTATGCTCAGTTCGTGACAAATGACTGCATCTCCCAGTCGCTAACCACTTAAACTCCCCCTCCCACTCCTTGGACGACATGTCCATCCTGGGCCACCTCCAGTGAAATAGTTTTTGATTTAGAGCCTCTGATATACGTTGATCTATAGCAGTAAATGTATTCCCAGCAAGATCCCACAAATGGAAGAGACAAATTAGGATTGGGAAAGATGGAACTGAAATGAGGTCAGAATTGGCCCAAGCGACTGTAACCCAGAATTCTTGCACTTCACCCAATGACGATTCCCAGTCACCAGAGCAGCAGAGACTGGAGTAGGACTTTGGAGCTTGGAACTTTGGAACTGTGTAGAATCCTTGGTTATAGCAGACTCCGTGGGAACTGCCTGGGAAATTGAATTATCTGATGAACAATTCCCCTGTGTCTGGAACGTTCTGAAAGAATCCATTAAAGTTGGAGAATTCAGAGGGTTCTGACTCACTTCATACTTGGCTGGGAAAAGTTAGCAGATTAAAACCTACTCTAATTCCTGCATAACTATTGACCCCATCGGCCCAGGACCCCTGACACCCAGCCACTCCGACTGTACCTTCTCTCTAAGCCTACCACTGTCTTACCCAAACCACTTGTCAACCTGACTCCCATCATCCCCTTCGCCAACTGTCAGACCCATCACCCACATCCTTCCTGACGATTGCCTGTCCCCTGACTTACCCTAAACTCTCGTTCACAAACCTGGCACCCTAGCCACTTGACACCCTAGCCCATCTCTCACCCACTTGGCATTTTACTGAACAAATTGGCATGGTTTCAATGAAGATTTCCTTTGTTGTTGGATTTGTGGATTTGTCTAGGAGGGAGCTCCCTGTTCAATGATCTCCAGCCGAGAACATCTAAAGGCACCAAAACAAATTCTGAGGAAGGGTCACCAGACCTGAAACGTTAACTCTGATTTCTCTTCACTGGTGCTGCCTGACCCGCTGAGCTTTTCCAGCAACTTCTGTTTTTGTTCCTGATTTACAGCATCCGCAGTTCTTTTGGTTTTTAATACTGCAAGGTAAATGGGTAAATTTTAATCCTGCCAGGTTTAGAAAGATTGTTTCTGACCTTGACTGGCCCAGATTTTTCAATGTGTTTTCAACACTGAATGCTTTGATACTGACCTAGTGAACCATACTACAATCTTCTGTCATAAATAATTATTCACTAAGGAATTTTTGAAAGCAGACTCTTTTTGTTGCATGTATTTCAGGAACATTTTGAAGTATAGACTTTTGTTCCGTTGTCTCATGGAGCTCCATTGATTTTATTTAGACTGAGTGTTGGAGCAGCATTGGTTTAGTATATTTCAATAAAAACCGAAAGAACTGCGGACGCTGTAAATCAGGAACGAAAACAAAGTTGCTGGAAAAGCTCAGCAGGTCTGGCAGCATTTGTGAAGAAAAAAATCAGAGTTAATGTTTTGGGTCTGATGATTTTATAAACCACATTTTGTAAACCACAGATGCTGCCAGACTTGCTGAGCTTTTCCAGCAATTTCTGTTTTTGTTAGTATATCTTAAGTTGCTTTAGAACAATTGTAAATGAGGACATAGATTTCCATTATCTTTAATAAATTTGGAAACCTGTTCAATTAGTTACAAATCAGAGGCATGCCACCTTGTGATACTTCACTACCTTTGTACATTTACAAGCAAACATACGAACCTTTGAGTATAGGAGTTGGGACGTCATGTTGAGCTTGTACAGGATGTTGGTGAGGCCTCTTCTGGAGTATTGTATGCGGTTCAGGTCACCCTGCTATAGGAAGGGTATTATTAAACCGGGGAACGTTCAGAAAAGATTTACCAGGATGCTTCTGGGAATGGAGAGTTTGAGATATAAAAATGGACTGGAACTTTTTTCACTGGAGTGTAGGAGGTTGAGGAGTGATCTTAGAGTTTTGTAAAACCGTGAGGGGCAAAGATGAGGTGAATGTCAAAGGTCTTTTCCCTAAGGTGGGGGAATTCAAAACTAGGGGGCATATTTTTAATGTGAGAAGAGAAAGATTTAAAAAGGACACGAGGGGCAACGTTCTTACACAGTAGTTCATGTGTGGAATGAACTTCTAGCAAATGTGATGGGTACAAGTACAGTTTAAATGCTTAAAAGACATTTGGATAAGTACATGAATCGGAAAGGTTTGGAGGGATATGAGCCAGGAGCAGGCAGGTGGGACTAGTTTAGTTTGGGATTGTTTTTGGCATTGAATGATCTGTTCCCGTGCTGTTGACTCGATGACTCAGAAGTAGAAGTAGCCCATTCAGCCTTTTGAGTCTTCTTCACAATTCAATAAAATCGTGGCTGATCAGTGCGTTCAATTCCACATTCCCATCTACCCCGATGAGGTTAGTTTCTTGTCAGGTAAGAGAATGGATCTACCCAACCTTCAAAATGTTCAATGACTCCACTTCCACCACCACCTGAGGCAAAGAGTGTTCCAAATTCACGTAATCCACTAAGAGGAAAAAAAAAAATCTCCTCAACCCTGTCAAAATACAGCGACCCCTAATTTTAAAACACTAACCCCTGGTTCTGGGCTGAGCCACGAGAGAATCCTTTCTACATCCACCTTGTCCAGATCATTCAGGGTCTTTTGTACTTCAACAAACCACCCCTCACTCTTCTAAACTCCAGCATAAACAAACCCAGCCTGTCCACCATCTCCTCGTCCTCTACATCCCAACTATCAATCTCATCTTCAACACATTTCACATCCCTCCCTTAAACAAGGAGACCAAAGATGCATACAGTATTGGAGATGTGGTCTCACCAATGCCTTGTATAACTGATATAATTGATATGGGTTGTGACTGCATGTACATTTCGAATTAGGATGGTGGTAATATCACAGGAGTAGTAACCCATGGTAATGCTCTGGGAGTATGGGTTCAAATCCAACCATGGCAGCTGGTGGAATTTAAATTCAACTAATAAATCTGGATAAATCTCGTCTCCATTATGGTGACTGCGACAACCATCGTTGATTATTATGAAAGGCCCATTACCTTAGAGCAGAGAAATCTGCCATTCTTACTTGGTGTGGCCTACATGTAACTCTAGACAGGAATGGAGTTGACTCTTAACTGCCTTCTGAAATTTCCCAGAGATTGGCAATAAACCCTGACCTTAGCAGCAATGCCCATGTCCCAAGAAAGAATAGTCAAAAAGTTGTGTATATTTGGAGAGAAAGCAAAGTTAACATTTTTGGGTCCAGTGACCCTTCTTCAGAGTTCTGGATCCAAAATGTTAACTCTGCTTTCTGTCTCCACAGATGCTGCCAGACCTGCTGAGTTTCTCTAGCTGTTTCTGTTTCTGATTTGCAGCATGTACTGTTTGTTGTTTGTTTTTTGAGTTGTGTAGAGGTATTTGCTTCCTTGTGTGTAAATTGAGCTTCTCAATTGGACTTAATAGGGTTACAGAGTTCAACCTCCCTGTATATCCTTTGGCTTGGGGTCAGTGTTATATTTGGGTTCCATGCTGATTAATAGGTTGACAGTATTCATCAGTAATGTCTTTCTTGGATTTTCCTAGATTGGAGAATTGGATCTCAGCGTGGGAAGGTGATTGCAGTGCCTGTTCTCCCTGCTTCCTGTTAGTTGGCGATTGGTGTAGCTTCATGCCAAATGGCGCAGGATACCAAAGTGATGACCTTCTACATGGAGTTGAGAACGGATGCTCGTGGGCGTTGTGCCATCACACCTCCAGGATCAGCATGCCATGACGAGCTGAACACTGCACAACCTGATGCCAATGCCCAATCGCCATGCTTGCTTTCGCCCATAATGCCATCCTATACGCAGCGGCGCAGTTTGCTGCCAGATACGAAGATGGATTTCCTGGGCTTTCCTGGTTGTAAGAAGGGCACAGCCTCACTCGTTCGCACACAGTCGGAGACCAATCCTTTTCGGGAATTTGCCCCAACCAGTCCCGGGAGGTCTACTGCCCCGACCTCTCCGGTATGCATCAGGACTCAGCCGTTCTGCCCAGTTAACTTGGAGAATACAATGAGAGAGCTGGGTGGTGACACCAGAGGTAGAAGCTCAGTAGTTACATTCAGCTATATTGAAAAGGCCAGAGTTAAAACTGTTGTGAACCCCTTCAATGTGTCTGTGCTTCCTCAGGGAGTGAAGCTGACTTCCATAGGCCAGGAACCCTCTACTGGGTGGAAAAGCCCCCAGACTGCCCACAGAGTCTCTCAACGGATAGTATCAAAGCCAGCTCAGATGGAGAATTTTGACATGTGTGTGAGCACAGTGTCTGTGAGAAGCTGCAGTGAGCCATCGAATGGCCTCCTTTCCACTCGGAGCTTGCTTTCATCGGTTGGGAGTGTGACCCGACGGTATTCTGATGCTGCGGCTCATAGTCCATGTCCTGGGGGGAAACGACTACAGTCTGGGAATGAACTGTGTCAAGGGTATGCTTCAAAGCAAATCCGTACCAAGACTCTGGATTGGGGAACAAATCTAATGACTGTGACTACCCCCAATAAAACATTGAGTAACCACAGCATTGCTGCCGTTCCAAGTGTGAAATCCCAAGAAATCCCAAACAGTCCAGGCCTCAGACAGGTACGTCCTGCCGAATGAATGGATGAATTTGTTTTATTGCTAAAGTGTTCCTCCGATCTGTCTGGAGAATAGGAAGTGCTACACCTGCCCCTACTCCTCCCCCCTCACCTCGATTCAAGGCACCAAATAAACCTTCCATATCAGACCTGCACAACAGTCAGTGTGGTATACTGCATCAGCTGCTCCCGATGTGGCCTCCTCTACGTCGGTGAGACCAAGCGGAGGCTCAGAGACCGCTTTGTCAAGCACCTATGCTCCGTTTGTGACAAACGACAACCCCTTCCAGTCCCGAACCATTTCACCTCTTTCTCCCCTCCCCTCCCAAACTCCCTGGGTGACATGTCCATCCTGGGCCGCCTCCAGTGCCACAATGACACCACATGGAAACTGGAAGAGCAGCACCTCATATTCCGCCTCGTGAGCCTACAGCCCAATGGCCTAAACGTGGATTTTACCAGTTTCAAAATCTCCCCAACCCCGGCCTCATCCCATGTCCAACCCTCCCTCTCATCCCCGCCTCCTTGATTTAACACAACCTGTCCATCTTCTCTCCCACCTATCCACCCCACCCATCCCACTGACCACTCCCTACCTGCACTCACCTATCACCATCCCACCTACCTTCCCCATCCACACCCCTCTTCTATTTACTTCAGAGCTCCCTTCCCCCTCCCCATTTTCTGAAGAAGGGTCCCGACCCGAAATGTCAACTTTCCTGCTCCTCTGAAGCTGCCTGGCCTGCTGTGTCCCTCCAGCTCCACGCTGTGTTAACTCTGACTCCAGCATCTGCAGTTCTTATTATCTCTCAAATTGAATAATCTTTATTGTAAACAGGGTAATAGCAGTGCAGCTTTGAGGCCCCAGAAATGGGTAATTATCAGAGGCTGGATGGTCGACTCCATTTCCCTCACTTTGCAGAAGCAGCTGTCTTGATGCAGTATGATGTTGTGAAGGAGCAGAGTTCACCCTTTTGCTGTAAACAGCAGCTACAGCAAACTATAAATTACTGTAAGACATGCAAATGTGAAACTTGTTCCATGATCACAGTCAATTCAGAACGAAAATGAATTGAAACGTGCACTATCCAGCTGGGAGTGTAGTGCTGACCCACTGGAGCCATTGGATGGGAATTTAAACCATTCTGTGGTTATTTATTTCCCCTGACACTGATGTTTCACCACCACTGAGCTCCCATCAATTAACAAAGTGCTCCAAACATTTGCTTTCCCACGTTATAGCAGGTTGTTCACCAATCTGTTTCCCAGCCCACTCCATGTCAACTTGTGGCCCCGTTAATGACCCATACGCAGTGAGACCTCCATCTGTCTTTATGACATTGCTTGTCAGGCCAGCTTCCACTCCTTGTGCCTGTTGTTCACTCTCTATCGGACAATTCCAGTTCACTGTAGGATGACCTCCATTGTCCATCAAATTTCAGCCTAAACGAAACATCACTGCCCATATTGTACTCACCAGGTCCTCCATTCTCCTCATTCGGCATTGATCCCAACTTAAAATGGCTACCGTCATGTTTACATTTAAATATGTAAATTCCTTCAACCCTTAGCTATATCCTATTCTATCTAATGTCTCTGGGCTACAGCTCAACAATCTCCCCTGTTCCCCTATTCCCTGTGTGGTCATCCCAATTGTCCATTGTTCATGGCCACACGGTCAGCCATCAGGTCAGCACCTGCCCTTGACCATGTCCCTTCATCTTACTCCTGCTGTTTTTTTTTTTTTAAGATCTTCCTTTAAAACTAGCCCAGTGACATTACTATCACCTCGCCTAGTCTGTATTAATATATGGGTTTCTCAGATTTTTACTCACATTGAACAAATGAACCCAGTCTCTCGTATGCCAATTGGCTCAGTGGTTAGCACTGTTGCCTCACAGCGCCAGCGACCCAGGTTCGATTCCACCCTCTGGCAACTGTGCAGAGTTTGTACATTCTCCCTGTGTCTGCGTGGGTTTCCTCCCACAGTCCAAAGGTGTGCAGATTAGGTGGATTGGCCATGCTAAATTGCCCCTAGTGTTCAGGGATGTGTAGATTTGGTGGGTTATAGGGGGATGGGTCTGGGTGGAAAGCTCTGAGGGTCGGTGTGAACTTGTTGGGCTGAAGGGCCTGTTTCCACACTGGGGATTCTATGAATTGGTTGTTATGGTCATTCTACCAGAAGATGTAGGAGCAAAGTTAGGCCATTCAGGTCATCGAGACTGCTTTGCCATTTGAACATGGCTGACACACTTTTCAACACCATTCTCCTGCCTTTCCCTATAATCCTTAAACCTCTTACCAATCAAGAACTTATCTATCTCTGTCTTAAAGACACTCATTGATTTGGCCTTCTGCGGCAATGATTTCCACAGAGTCACCACCCTGTGGCTGAAGAAATTCCTCCTCAGCTCATTCTAAAGTGTCATCCCTTCACTCTGAGGCTGAGCCCTCAGGTCCTAGTCTCTCCTACTAGTGCAAACATCTGCATGTCCACTCTGTCCAGACCTCTCCGTATTCTGTAAGTTACAATCTGATTTTCCCCCCCTCATCCTTCTAAACTCCAATTACAGACCTAGAGCCATCAACCGCTTGTCCTGGAGAAACCCAATTGCCATCTTTAGAGTGAAACTTTTCCTAATTTTCTCCTTCTGTGTGATGGATGATGGAAGAGATGTTGTTATACCAATATTGTTCTCCACACTTTTTCCTCTCTGTGGCTATGTTGCTAGATCTGCTCTGACTCTTTCTCTATTCACCACCTCGAGTTGAATCTTTAGAAAATCTTCCTCAATCCCCTCAGAATTTGAGGGAACTGAGGGATATGGCTGAAAAATGGATTTAAGGTGGAAGGTCATCCATTATCTTGATGAATGGTGCAGCATTCTGAAAGGGCTGAACCTTCCTCTGCATTCCCCAACTACTTACAACTTAGAATGGTCTCAAACGTTCATAAAATTCTAGCTGCCCTGTTTCATAGCATCGTTGAACCCCCTACACTGCTAAAATAAGCCATTTGGCCCATTGACTTTGCACCATCCCACCTAGATCCAGCTCCACACCCTATCCCTGTAACCCTGCATTTCCCATGGCTAACCCACCTATCCTGCATATCCCTGGATACTATGGCCAATTTAGCATGGCCAATTCTCCCTTAACCTGCACATTCTTGGACTGTGGGAGGAAACTGGAGCACCTGGCAGACACAGGGAGAATGTGCAAACTCCACACAGACACCAGTCATGTCAGGCTGGATTCGAAGCTGGATCCCTGCTGTTGTGAGCCAGCAGTGCTATCCACTGTGCCAAGCTGAATTGTTTGAGAATCCCAAGAGATCTGGGAGCCAGTGCCAGCTGTATAATGGTCACTGACTAGGCTAAGTGCACAGGCCATGCAGACTGGGAAGGTCAGGGCTCGGTCCTCTGAATATGCCTCACATATTAGACTAGGCAAGCCCTGTGTGAATAGACTCACTTCATACTCTCCAGGGAGAGCAAGCTGAACGATTGCGCATTCACATATGGCTAGCTTTAATGTGGGGAGATGGTGGTGGAGTGGTAATGTAACTGGGACAGTAATCCCGAGAGCCAGTCTATTACTCTGGGAATGTCTCATCAGGGTGAAAATGAAATTATCATTTATTGTTGTAAAAGTCTATCTGCTTCAGTAATGTCCCTTCCAGAAAAGAGTCAGTTGTCCTTTCACCTGTCCGTCCTACAAGTCACTCCACAGCAATTTCTGAAATGGTCTAGCAAGCCGCTCTGTTTGAGGACCATTAGGGTTGGGAAATAAATCATGATTTTGCCAGTGATGCCCAGATCTCCTGAAAGAAGAAATAAAGCAAGAAAAGGCGCACAGTATACTGGCAGCATTGTCTCTACGTGTGCTTAATAACATACCAGCACCAGTCGAATATGTTCCCTGTATCATGGTATATTGTCCAAAACTTTTTGATAATTCTGCAATGAATATCTCCACGTTGTTGTGATCTGAAAATGTAACACGAGAGAGTTTAGTAATTGCCGTCCTATGGATTGCTGCACCTGTCATTCGGATTGCTGCACCTGTCATTCGGATTGCTGCACCTGTCATTCGGATTGCTGCAAATGGGTGAAGCTCTATTGATACAATGGGAGCTGATCTATTTGAGGCACTAAATATGATTAAAGGACTCGGCAGCGTAGAGAGAAACACTTTCTTCTGGTGGGGAGAAGAGGTGTCGAATGTTAATCTTAGACAGAAACATTCATGCATAGTGCCAGGAAGCACTTCTTCACACAAAGGGCATTGGAAATCTGAGCACCCCAGCCCTGAGAGAGTGACTTGTTGAGGCCGAGTGCCAATCGAAAGTTTCCAAAATGAGATCGATGCAATTCCCTGAGCCAGGGAGATGAAGAGATCTGGAACCAAGGTGGGGATAAGGTGCTCGATTGGCAATGAGCGGGAGGGCAGAATAAACTTGAATGAAGGGACTGAAGGGCCTGTCCTTGTTCTGTTGGCTTCTCGAGAGGGACAGTGAAGGCAGCAAATCAGACCTGGCTGTTCACAAATTCCAAGCACCTGGAGGCAGTGAGAACCCCCACCCCCCAACTCAGCAACTGGGAAATTTACAAGAAGACTAGTGTAAGAACATGTCAAAAATTTCTTTCTACCGACTTCCCTGGAGAGGAAAACCATGCTCCGGGTTTGGGGTGGTAGTGTTTTTGGTGGTTGATGTGGGGGTGGGGGGGAGCGGTGGGGGGCACGATACAGGGTGCGTTGGGGGTACGGGGTTTGTACCCAACTCCAACCCCTCTGATGGATGGGTTAGAGGGAACTCTTAAAAAGTGTCTCCAAACAAGATTGCTTCAGTTTCTTTCTTGTCCTTTCTTTATGTCTTGTTTTTGGGTTTGCTGACACAACAGTCTTTAAATTCGAGTCATACACAATGGGAACAGACTTTTCGGTCCAACCAGTCCATGCTGACCATAATCCCTAACTAAACTAGTCCCATCTGCTTGCTCC